ACTGTTTGTTTCCCTTCCGCTTCCTCGATGCCACTATGCAATCATCGAATCTGCCATTGCGCCATCTTCACCATCTCTCTCATCTCTCTCTCCGTAACTCCTCCGTCGCGCGCTCTCTCATCTCTGGCCGCCTGAGAAAAGAAAAAGGAGAAGAAGGGATGGATCTGGCTGCCATTTTCCGTCGCGCGCTCTCTCCCTCCAGAATCGGCGATTCGAGCTCCCTCGACGCATCCACCTCTTTCGTTGGAGAGGTATAGCTTTGTTGGTGTATCCGATATCGACCCCGAGCATGACACGGCGCTGCCCAGAACAATAGAAGGCTTCCAATCGCTCACCGCTATTTGCTCGACGGCGGTGGTGCCATTCGTGATCGTTCCCCTGATTTCGTCCGCTAAATCGATCTTTGGTTCCTCATTGTCGACGACCTGTTGCAGAAGACGACGACGATGTTGTGAGAGGAGAAAGGACGGCGGCAACATCGAGTGGTGGAAGAGGAGAGAGGATGAGAACAATAATTATGATTTTTTATTTAATTTTAAATTAAAATATGACATTGCATCCATGTGGCAATTGTTGTTGAGTTGTCGATGATGTGTCTGGTGAGTTGGCAGCCATGTAAGCATTTCGTTAAGTTGACTAACGGTGTCACTGACGCCGTTAAAATATGTAACGGAAATGGCTATATTTGTCATGAAACTTTCAAAATTCTGGCTATATGTGGTATTTCGTCAAAAGTGGCTATTATTGTCACAAGCGTAAAAGTTTTGGCTATAGAGATGAATTTTGTCTTTTATATATTAATTAATTTATATATTAACTAGAGCATGTAGTCGAACATGGGAGTCACTAATAAATAGTAACTCCCATGTTAGGCTTTAAGATATTAATAATTAATTATTATATTAATGTATAATAGATAAGGTATGGATCTTCGGTGGCAGCCGTGACAAACGGTGAAAGAAGACAATTTATGATTTTGTAGATAGTGTTTCGAGATGGGCAATTATTGCAACAGCGAAAACAATGAACATAGATAAAAACTTAGTAGACAATTAATAACTATTATGAGAAACCTAATGGGTAATAGATGGGCAATAGATGTAGACCCAACGGACAATAGATGGAAACATATGTTATATTAACTAGAGCATGTAGTCAAACATGGGAGCCACTAATGAATAGTAACTCCCATGTTAGGCTTTAAGATATTAATTAATTATTATATTAATGTAATGGATAAGTTATGGATCTTCGGTGGCAGCCGCGACAAACGGTGAAAGAAGACAATTTATGATTTCACCGATAGTGTTTCGAGATTGGTTATTGTTGTAACAGGGAAAACAATGAACAATAAATGAAAACTTAGTATACAAATAATTAATATTATGAGAAACCTAATGGGTCATAGATGGGCAATAAATGTATTACATAGGCTATATAATAAGAGACTGGGGTAAAAGAAATACTTGAAACATCCGCACTTGCACTTGGAGGAGTTTGGGAGCCACTAATGAATAGTAACTCTCATGTTAGGCTTTTATATATTAAATAAATTAATTAATTAGTAGACAATGAATAAATATTATTGAAAACCTAATGGGCAATAGATGTAGACCCAGCAGACAATAGATGATCAAATAGGTTATAGAATAAGAGAGGGGGCAGATTTGTTATGGATTTTCGATAGCGATATTGAGACATGGTGGATGGGTACAACTTAAGATTCCACCGAAAGAGTTTGGAGAAGGGTTGTGAATTATTGGGCGAATGCGATGATTATGTATAATAGATAAATTATGGATTTTCGGTGGCAGCCGCGACAAACGGTGTAAGAGGACAGTTCATGATTTCGTCCATAGTGTTTCGAGATGGGCAATTGTTGCCATAGGGAAAATAATGAACAATATATGAAAACTTAGTAGACAATTAATAACTATTATGAGAAACTTAATGGACCATAGATAGGCAATAGATGTAGACCCAACAGACAATAGATAAAGACATAGGTTATACAATAAGAGAGTGGGGTAACTCTCGTGTTAGGCTTTTATTTATTAAATTAAATATATTAAATTGTGCATTATTGGGCGAATGCGAGGATTGTGTATAATAGACAAGGTATGGGTCTTCGGTGGCAGCCGCGACAAATGGTGAAAGATGACAATTTATGATTTCGTCGATAGTGTTTCGAGATGGGTAATTGTTGCAACAAGGAAAACAATGGACAATAGATGAAAATTTAGTAGACAATTAATAACTATTATGAGAAACCTAATAAGCAATAGATGGACTATAGATGTAGAGCTAACGGACAATAGATGAAAACATAGATTATAAAATAAGAGAGTGAGGTAAAAGAAAAACTTCAAACTTCCCCACTTACATTTGGAGAAGTTTGGAAGCCACTAATAAATAGTATCTCTTGCTTTTTTATATCTCCCATATTATGCATTTATATATTAATAATTAATTAATAAAAGCATATAAGATCTCATGACAACTCGTTAGACTTGGCAGAGGTAGCTAATTAGATAACTCAAACACGCTTAAACTAACTTAGAGGAACTAGTGGTAACTTAATTGGTAACTAAAGAGGTCCATGAGGGTACTTGTGTTAGCTGAAGAGAACTTGGAGTAGTCAAGTTTAGCTCGAGAAGGCTAAATGCTAGCTCACTCTAACTCAACTTAATTGGTTGGATGACTAGCTCAACTCAACATTGTGATAGTTCACTTAGTTCACACTAAGGTATAGTTCAAAATATATAGAAGTGAGTGAGACTCACTGGAGGTCACTAACACTAGCGCTAGAGATGGCTAATGATGTGATTAGAATCGTGCCCTAGGAGAGACACCATTTCATGTTGCGTTGTGCCAACTAATTCATGTTAAAGACATGTAGAAAAAATGAACCAATAAGATGGAGAAAAGTTGGCTAATGAGATGGTGAATTTTGTTATGAGTAAGGTAGTCAAAATCTAAATTTAAATTCTAAAATTTTATGATATTATTTATCTGTTCTAATTCTGATTTTATTATAAAATCCATGGACCCATAGAATAATAAACTATTCACAATTAAAACAGTTAAAACCTAGATTTTCATAGGATTTTAACGGTTTTAATCGATACTAATTGATTTTTTTAAATCTTTGAGTTTTTATTGCATTATAAGTAGTCTATCCCTTGTCGCCGCAACGGGTACATTTATTTTTCCAAGAGAAACCATTCCTTTATTCCATTATTAGTATAAGCTCGCTCGCTATCGCTTCGCGTGTGAACGAGAACATGATATTTTAAAGATTGATAGTGAATTTTCATTCAAAAGTAAAGAGCTTGTCATCTACAATTCCATGTATTCGACAAATCGATGAACTTTAATAAGGGAGAAGGTCATCGAGCAAATGATTTCTATGTTTAATCTTCTCTCTAGTTTGTTTGTTTTTTTTTTTTTTGCTTTATTTTCTTAAGTTCATCTTGATTCTCCTTTTTATGGATTTTCGGAACGAATGGCAGGTTTGAGCAGGTTCAACTCACTCTGGCTGGGTCGAATTAGGTTGCTCCCATGAGTTTCTTTCTCAACCAAAAAGAAAAAGAGAATTTAACGAACAGTAAAACAGGTAAAACTCGCTCACGACCTAAAATTCGGCAACATCATGTTCAACCCTCGTTGATCAGGTTGAACCGAGTTTGTAACAAATTTACAACCGACCCGACCCGCCAATTACAAAAGCGAATCAAACTCACTCCCGCCCGAAAACATGTAAGCATCGGGTTCAAGTCGTTTTAATCAAGTTGAATTAGGTTGGATACCATAGTGTTGGCTCTCAACCCAAGGAAAAGGGTAAATAAAAAAGCACTAAAGCGGATAAACTCGCTCCCTACCAAAAACTCTACACATCGAGTTCAATTCTCATTGACTGGTTTGAACCGAGTTTTTAACAATTCACACTCTGCTCAACATGTCAATTCTAAAATCACATAAAACTCTCTCTCTCTACACAAAACTCGTCAACATCGGGTTCGGGTTCAATGCTCAACCAAAAGGAAAATGAGAAATAAAAAAATATTAAAGCGAACAAAACTCGCTCTCAATCAAAAAGTCAACAACATTGTGTTTAGCTCGCTTTGACCGGGTCAAATCGAGTTTTTAAAAAATTTACATTCAACCCAACCTACCAACTACAAAAGATATAAAACTCGCTCTCGATACAAAACTCGTCAGTACCATGGTTTAGGTTCAATTGACATTATCAACGAAAGAAAAAATAGAAATTTTAAAAAATACTAAAATCAGGTTTAAAGTCGCTTTGACCTTGTCGAATTATGTTGGATACCCATGATTTTGAGTTCAATTGTAATGCTTAACCAACATAAAAAGAGAGATAAGAAAACACGAAAGAATATGAAACTCGGTCGCGATACAAAATTCAGCAGCACAGAGCATATTTGGTATGGATTTTCGGTAACGGTATTGGGACACGGTGGATGGGTACAACTTAGGATTCCACCGAGAGTGTTTGGTGAAGGGTTGTGCATTATTGGGCGAATGCGAGGATTGTGCATAATAGATATGGTATGGATTTCCGATAGCAGTCGTTGCAAACGATGAAAGATGACAACTTACGATTTCAACGAAAATATTTTGAGATGAGTTGCGAATTGGTGGGTCAAGGCGATGATTTGGGCAAAAGATAATAGAAGGAAACCTAATGGATAAATTGTTGCAACAGGAAAAACAATGCACAATAGATGAAAACTTACGAAATCTAATGGGCATTAGATGTAAACCCGACGGACAAATAGATGAACACATAGATTATAGAATAAGAGAATGTGGTTGAAGGAATTTGGGAGCCACTAATAATAATTAATTATGACAAACCTTCTCCACCCACGTTCTTTTAAGTCAACCTTTAGCTTCACCGCCATCATATTAGGAACAAGTCTTTGTCACATATACTTGTATCAATGATAATACACACGGTTGATAATCCTTACACATCAAATATCTCCGGCTGCGGCCGTCCCTTTCTCCAGCTTATACCCAACCGTAAGCTTGACCGGCGAATCCACCTCCAGCGGAGACTCCAAAATGGCCAGATAATCATCGCTCCCACCACCTCCCAAGTAAGCATCCAAAAACGCCACCACGATCCCACCAACGCCCTTCCTCATCTTCTCCCGCGAGCTAAACAGCCCGCTCGCCCCTTTACACATCAGCTTGGTCAGCGCAAAATCAAACATCCCCTTAAAGTCACGTTCGAACCAGCTGACGTCATCGACCACGTCCATGTGGCCGTAATCGTCTGCGACCAGGTGGCTTTTGGGAGCCATGCACTCGCTGTAGAATTCGGCGTGGTTGACCCAGTTGGGCGCGCAGGCGGGCAGATCGATCACCTCCGACTGGTTACCCAGCCCGCTCCCGATGACCGCCACGGGGACCGAGAGGTTGAGGGATTCGGGTTCGTAGTGAAAGGTATGAACCGTGTGTTGTATTGCATTAACAAGGGGTATATATATACCCAGGATTACAGCAGGTACAATTGTAGAATACTACTAGGACTAGGAGAATGAACAACGATTAATACAAGGACAAGGACTACAAGTGAGACTAGAACTAGGAATTCTTCCTTATACGCCCCCGCAAGATGGAGGCGGCGTCAGCAAGACCCAGCTTGGAAGTGAGAAGTCGATAACGGGTAACGGGAAGAGCTTTGGTGAGCAAATCGGCGAGCTGACTAGCAGTAGGGAGATGTTGAACAACAAGCTGGTTCGACTGAACAAGCTGACGCACGAAGTGATAGTCCAACGCCAAATGTTTCATACGAGAATGAAAAACAGGATTGGAACTGAAGTTGACTGCACCAAGGTTATCACAGAAAAGAAGAGGAGCACGGGGCAGCGGATAGTGGAGCTCAGAGAGAAGATTTTGAATCCAGACAGCTTCAGAAGTAGCAAGGGCAAGAGCCCGATACTCCGCCTCCGTACTGGAACGAGCAACAGTACGCTGTTTCTTGGACTTCCAGGAGAGTAAAGTATCACCGAGATAGATGAGAAAGCCAGAAGTCGAGGTACGGTCATCCACATCACCAGCCCAGTCAGAGTCGGAGAAGATACGAAGTGAAAGAGGCAAGGACTGACGACGAATCTGAAGACCCACAGTGCGTGTACCAGCTATGTAACGCAGGAGCCTCTTAACATGCTGCCAATGTGTCGAGGTAGGAGAATGCATGTACTGAGATAACTTGTTGACAGAGAAAGCAATATCCGGACGAGTAGTGACAAGATATTGAAGCGCCCCTAGGACTTGTCGATACAAAGTGGCATCCGCCGGGGAAGAACCATCAGCCAGTGTAAGCCGAGCGGTAGAAGCAAGCGGAGTCGGGGCAGGGGCCGCCTCATGCATTTGAAAGCGGGTAAGAAGGTCTGTGACGTACTTGTGCTGCGACAGGAGGAAGCCAGCTGAATTGGGAATGATTTCAATGCCAAGAAAGTAGTGCACATGTCCCAAATGCTTGAGCGAGAAGCGATCCGAGAGCTTGGATTGAAAGGCAGACAAGAATGCGGCATTGTTGCCGGTTAGGAGCAAGTCATCAACGTACATGAGAAAGTAAACCAGAACGCCGTCATGCGAGTAAACAAAGAGAGAGGCATCAGAGGCGGTTTTGACGAAGCCACACGAGAGCAAGAAAGAACTCAGCGCCTCATACCAAGCGCGAGGAGCTTGACGAAGGCCATAGATGGCACGTCGTAGTCGACAAACATGATGTGGAAACTTCGGATCCCGGAAACCTGGCGGCTGGGACATGTAAACCTCCTCTTGAAGAGGACCCTGAAGGAACGCATTATTAACATCGTACTGAAAAATAGGCCAATGCGAAGACAAAGCCAAGGTGAACACCGTACGAACTGTGACTGGTTTCAGAACCGGACTGAAAGTCTCGTGATAATCCACACCAGCCCGCTGATGAAAACCTTTCGCAACAAGCCGACATTTGTGACGTTCAATAGAGCCATCCGGTAACCACTTGACCTTATACACCCAGCGCGAACCGATGACATTATAGTGAGGTAGCCTGGGAACAAGATCCCACGTGTAGTTGGCCAAAAGAGCATTGTGTTCAGTGTGAAGAGCATTGCGCCATACATCATAACGCATGGCCTCCTTGACAGAGCTCGGTTCAAGAGGAGGAGCATCCTGCGAGAAAACAACATTAACATACTTCTTGTTAGGCTTAACAATGTTGTTCTTAGCTCGTGTTGTCATGGGATGGCAAGGAGCAGGAGCCGGCGAAGAAGCGGGCGGCGACGAGCTGGGCGAGGGTGATGCCGAGGTGGATGTTGAAGTAGATGCTGACGGATCCAAGGAAGGAGAGCTAGAGGGAGGCGTACCAGACCGCGGAACAGGTGACAAGGGCTGCATGGAAGGAGCTGAATCACGTGGCCTGCATGGGAGGAATGAAACAGGAGGAGACATAGAGGCAAGCCAAGTCATGGAGGTGGACTCGGCAGAATGTGGTGGAGACATAGATGAAACACCTGGGAACTTAGATTCCAGAAACAGTACATGACGCGAAAGAAACACACGACCGGACTGAGGATCAAGACAACGATATGCGCTTTGTTGGTGGGAGTAACCAAGAAAAACACAAGGACGAGAACGAGGCTCAAGCTTGTTAGAGCTATAGGGACGCAACCAAGGGTAACAGAGACAGCCAAAGACACGAAGTTTGGAGTAATTAGGAGCTTCATTGAACAGGACAGTGAAAGGTATTTGACCACGAAGTGACGATGATGGTAGACGGTTAATAAGATAGACAGCTGTAGTGAAGGCATACGACCAATAGGACAACGGAAGATTAGCTTGATGGAGCAGAGTAATACCGGTTTCAACGATATGTCGATGTTTGCGTTCGGAGAGCCCGTTATGCTCAGGAGTATATGGAGGGGTGAGTAGATGCGTAATACCATGAGCCAAGAGATCAGATTTAAGTTTGTGAAACTCACCCCCACCATCGGTATAGAATCTGCGAATAGAGGTCTGGAAGTAATTTTCAACTAGCTTTTTAAAAGCAAGAAAAACAGACAAGACATCAGATTTGAATTTGAGAGGGTAAATCCATGTGTAGCGAGTAAAATGATCAACAATAACAAGATAATAAGAGTAGCCATCGACAGAACATACTGGAGCAGGCCCCCAAACATCGGAAAACAAGAGATCAAAGGGACGACTACTAGACAGACTGGAATCCCCAAAAGGAAGTTTATGACTCTTATTAGACAAACATGAGTTACAATGAGAGACCGAACGACCCGTATGAGGGAGAGAATGAACCCGAAGAAGACGCAACAAGGACTTGGAAGACGGATGACCTAAACGACGATGCCAAGCATCAGGAGAGTGGCGAGTGGTGACAAGGGCGACGCGAACAGCTCCAGAACCACCAGGAAGTTCATAAGTATCACCTTTGTTCCTTCCGGTCAGCAGGGACGCCCCCGTTCTTAGATCCTTCACATGAAATGAATCAGCAAAAAATTCAACAGACACAGGATTAGTACGACACAGTTTAGCAACAGATATCAGTCGTTGCTTAATAGACGGAACACATAGCACATCCCGTAGACTTAGACATTGATTAGTAGCAGGAAGAGAAGAAGAACCGATATGAGTGATCCGCAAACCTGAACCATCACCAAGGTAAATTTCATCGGGGCCATTATAGTCAGAGTAAAGCGACAAGTTGCCAAGATTGTTTGTCACATGATGAGTGGCCGCGGAGTCCATGAGCCAAGGGCCTGGAGACGAAGTAGGAGGAGCCGAGGGAGGATGCTGCGTATAGTTGGCCTGCGGTGGTCTCTTGTGAGGGAAGAGCTGAAAACAGGTTTTGGCGTTATGCCCGGGCTTGTCACAGTATTGACAGTAGACACGAGGACGACCGCGAGGAGATTCATCATCACCGCGAGCAGAAAAGGAGTCCCAAGAAGGTTGGGAAGCAGACGAGAATGAGGAGGCGGGGCTTGGATGGGAGGGCGAGCCACGACCAGCGCCCCGTCCAGCAGTACCACCGCGACGCCCGCGCCCACGGCCGCGTTGAGAAGTAAAGGCGGTGGCAGGGGACTCAAGAGACGGACGAGTAGCCCGGAGATCAGCTTCTAGAGCCTGCAGCCGATCAACCAAATCCTCGAGCTTTGGAGGGACATCACGAGCCCTAATCCCAGCAGAAAATTCAGCGTAGTCGGAACCAAGACCACGCAAACAAACCGTGACAAGTTCTTCGTCACGAATAACTTCGCCAGCGAGAGCAAGTTCAGAGGCACGGGAGCGAAGGGCTTGAATATATGTAGCCACATCGCGATCGCCTTTCTTCTCAGCAAGAAGCCGATCACGGAGAGTCATCACGCGAGAGTAGGAAGTTCCGGCATAGAGATTCTGAAGAGTAGTCCAGGCCGCGCGAGACGTCTCCGCAGACGAGATAAAGGGACAGATTTCAGCGGTAACAGAGGCAAAGATGCCATTGAGTAGAAGCTTATCCTGGCGAAACCAGTGAGTGTAGGCTGGGTTTCGCTGGGGAACATTGTTCACAGTAAGAGTCTCCGCCGGTGGAGGAGTGGAGCCATCCAAGTAGCCGACGAGATCGAGACCATAGAGCAAGGAAAAGAGCTGCGCACGCCAGGACGGGAAGTTGGTTGAGGTGAGCTTGAGGGGCAACGAAGCAGCTGGATTGAACGTGACCAGCTGCGGTGGATCAACGGCGGCGGAAGGCGTAGCAGACGTGGTTGACGACTCGTCGCTCATGTCGACGAAAACTGGCTGAAGACAAGAAGAAAACTAGCTAGGGTATGGAAACGCCTGCTCTGATACCATGAAAGGTATGAACCGTGTGTTGTATTGCATTAACAAGGGGTATATATATACCCAGGATTACAGCAGGTACAATTGTAGAATACTACTAGGACTAGGAGAATGAACAACGATTAATACAAGGACAAGGACTACAAGTGAGACTAGAACTAGGAATTCTTCCTTATACGTAGGTGAGGATTACTGGGTCGGTGCGGGAATTTTTGCTGACCCCGGCTACTGGGTCGACCCCGACCACGGCTGATATGGTCAGTTTCAAGGGTTTGGTGCAGAGTCCGAGGGCGAGGGCGAAGGCGGATTTGCCGCCGCGGCTGTGGCCTCCGACGGCGAGCTTGTCGAAGTCGGGGAGGACGCCGGGCGGGAGGTGGGAAGGTAGGGCGGTGGCGGAGGGCATCCAGTTTGTGACTTGCTCCAGGTACTCGATCTCCTCCAGCTCGCACGGCAGAGACAGAATTGAATCGAACAGCTGCGTGTGTACATTGACAACAGAAGAATCCTCGATGTATTAGTGACTAATTGGATATATACAGTACCAAATGGCTTTTTGTGTTTTGAATTGTGACGAGGTTTTGATATTTGTAGTATTTAGTTTAGTACCATAAATGGGGTTTTCTCTTGCTATAGAGACATAAACAGCTAATAATAACAATAGATTTTTTACAGGTTTCCCATAAGAAAAAGAGTTTTTTTTTCCCGACCTCTAACAATTTGTATTGAAATTATGGAGTTAAACTTGGATTTTCAAATGTTCTTGTAAAAATGGGTTACATGGTAATTATACAATATAATGACATCTATTTTGATATATTCCAAAATTATTTGATATTTAAAATGCTACAAGACATGTAATAACATACATGAATATAAGTATATAACCTATTATTGCGTGAATAAAAATTATCATTTGTGCGAATATCACTGTTGTGTAACTTGTGCGATTCAGTATACCAATTGCATCACTTTTGAGTAGAGGTGGCAAATGGATTGGATCCATGGATTGGTAGATTGGATTGGTGGATCCATGGATCAAATGGATTGGATCCAATGGATTGGTGGATCAAGTGGATTGGTGGATTATCCATGAATCCAAATGACATACTCAACCAAGGATCATATGTAAAATGTGAAAAGTTTGGGTACTAAAATGTCGTGATGAAAAACTTTAGTTACCAAAACGTAATTTTTCAATGATATTTTCGTATAAAAATCAAATTTTGGGTACCAAAATGTAAAATATAAAAAGTATAGGTATCAAACCGTAATTTGCCATTTGGATCCATGGATCAATCAATAAATCCACCACTCCAATTGGATTTGGATCAAATAGATTGGATTTAAATGGATTGGATTAGGTGGATATTTTTAATGGATTGATGGATTGAATTGAGAATTGTAACCTCTAGACTCTTTTACTTGGAAAAACAAGTTGTAGCACAAAAAATAGGGACAATTACCACACCTATAAGTGAATTGTAAAGAGTGCGTGGGTATGTATATACCTGCGGGGCGACGACTATGTAGCCGTGGGAAGAAATGTGGGAAAGGAGGCCGGAGTAGAGGTTGTTGCTGATGAAGGTGCCATGGGCGAAGAGGAAGACAGGGTAATTTCCGGGCCGGGTCGGGGCGACGACGTAGAGGGGCCTCGGAGGCGGATTAGTTGAACTACTGGCCGTCACCGGCACGGTGATAGGTTTCGGGCTGCAGTCTCCATCTCCGAACACAGCAAGCTTTTGGGAACCGGAACACTGAGGAGTATTGGTGCTAATTTGTTTAGCAGCTGGCTCTATGGCGCCGGCGACAGGATAGTTATACAACGGTGTTACTGCCAATGCCGACAGCACCACCAGCAGCGCCACCGGACCAAATCGAAGCTGCGCTACCGCCATTGTTGATCGTCGTTTTTTTATTTTTATTTTTTGTCTTCTCTGTTTCTGGCAAGTGATGAAGAACTATTATTATTAAGACCACACAAGTTTAAAGACAAAGACAGAGGTGTTCTAAGCAACTCTGGACCGTAGATGGATAAACAAAAATCTAATTTCAGGGGGAAAAATAAATTTATAATAATATTTTCCATCACGACCCGAGTCCTAACTCTGTTTATCACTTCTTCCATATAACCGAAATCACAAAGATAATGGACAAAATTGACTCTTGAGTCCCTTATAAAATCTCTCCAGCCAGAGACTATGACAATTGACGTGAATGTTGACAACTAAATGACAAGAGAAGCATACCCACTCGTCAGTCATATGGACTATGTAGCGTGAGTTTCCTTTTATTCTATAATATCTTAAAACGGTTGTTATATATCTTACATACACCGTACAATTGATCTACGTATAAAAGTATGTGAAAATGGGCGTCTGAGTACAGAATAAATCATATCCATTGATTTATTATTGACGTTAACCACAATAAGACACAAGCATAGTGAATTAGAAAAAAATTTATTTTTTAAAGATTTCTTAACATACTTAACTTTTAAACTAAAAAAATATCACTTTCTTCTATCTAATATTCGTTTTCTCTATTATTTGTTTATACACTTCGATTCTTCTAAAATTATTCTCTCCTTCAACTCAATGAAGTCACATCACCTATTCATATGAGTCCATTAAATTTATTAATTGTCAATTTAGTTGCTATTTAGATTGTTTTTGTTCAATTCAATCTCTCAAATAATTTTTTATATTATCTTTATATTTAAATTATTATCATTATTTATTTCAAATAATATTAGATAGATACTATTTTAAATAATGTTGTACTGATTTTTATTCATTAATTGATATTTTACTTACATTGTATTGGATTTTTAGAGAAAAACATTTGAACCACATTTATTTTAGAGAGCACGGTCTCGAGAATATCAGGATCATTCCTGCCTACAGCTGCTGGAAAGAACCACTTGTGGCTGAAAGCAAGAAGATTAGTCGATGCCCCAAAAAGAATATTGTAGCAACCAGAATTTCAACTCCTAGTTATGAAAATGCCAAGCCCAGCCATACCATCACGTGATTTAGGTACGTATTTTTTTTTTTTTTTACAAAAGATAATCATATATTGATCAGAATAAAATAGTTACATCCTGGAATTCAGCCAGGCCTGAAAATCAAAGGAACGACTCCTAGTCGGGTACAGAGAGAAGGCTTTACGAGCCACCAAATGGGCTACCCTATTACAACGCCGACCTACAAATCGAACACTAAACCCAAGATAGCTGTCAAAATAATGCAGAAGTTCCTCCAAAACAGCACCCACCCGGTTATCCCTAGCATCCCGCTGATTGAGTTTGTCAATAAGCACCTTCGCATCACCTTCAAATCTCACAACTGAGAGTCCAACCTCCACGCACCACATCACCGCCTCCCGGAGGACAAGCAGTTCAACTATCATCGGGTCATCCATACACGGAAGTTGAATCCCCTTAACCATCCAAACCTCTCTCGAGGGAGTCAGAAGGACCACCCCACCAGCCGAGTGCGACCCTTTCCTCACCGCGCCATCCCACATACACACAACAGCATTCTCCCCAGCAAGACCAAGATTCACATTCCTAGACGGACCCTCCATAGGGCCAACGGTCATGGGGACCCTATCCACAGGCAGGCAGACCCACTCCTCATACTGTTGGTGGAACTGCCGCATCAGGGCAGGAAACCCGAACTGTTTTCCTTCAAAAACAACCCAGTTCCGAGATCGCCAAATACGCCACAGGACAGCTACCACCGCCATCAGCAGAGAAGGCTGACGAATCAAGGCGAAAAGTCGTTTAAGGAACATAGGGAAGGTATGCCTAGGGAGCCCCTCTCCTAGATACTCCAGGCCTGAGTAATCCCACACGGCACGAGCCACAGGGCACTCCAAAAATAAATGTTCCAAAGTTTCCGAACTAGCCCAGCAAACAGGACAACGGGGGTGTAACGGGACTCGCTTCTCGATAAGGGCCTCCGTGGTTGGTAAGATACGATTAAGGATCTGCCAGAGAAAAACCTTGAGTTTCGGCGGGATATTAGCATCCCAAACCCGAACCCAGTCCTCTTTATCCATCCAACCGACCGAATTCCTCCAGCCACCCCTTCTTTTATCAAGGTCAACCGCTAAATGGTAAGCAGACTTAACAGTGAAGACCCCATCCGCCGTACCATGCCAAATCAACTTGTCCGATAGATTTTGTCTTGGAAGGGGAATAGCTTGAATGGCCTTGCAGGTAGGAGGATCAAACCATTGACCTAGCTTCTGCTCATCCCAACAACCCCCTTCCGGGCCCATAACCTCTGCAACAGTAGGCTCCCCTCCATCTGGCAGGACCCGAGGATTATAACAAGGGAGATCCATCTGGAGCTTAGGGATCCATCTAGATCCAAGCAGAGGCGCGGATTGCCCATTACCAATTTGCCATCTTAGCCCTTGAACCAGTAACTCCCTACCAAAGAGAATGCTTTGCCATCCCCACGAAGGGCGAGACCTGGGAGAGGCATCAAGAAAAGACCCATTGGGGAAGTACTTGCCTTTATAAACCTGCGCCAACAATGATTGGGGCTCCATCAGAATCCGCCAGCCAATTTTTGCCAACAGGGCCTGATTAAATTGCTCGAACCGCCGGAATCCCAACCCCCCTTCATGCTTACTACGGCACAGATTTCGCCAAGAAACCCACCGGAGCCGACTATGATCATCAGCATCACCCCACCAAAACCGGGCCACATGCCTATCCAAGAGGCGGCACAAAGAGAGAGGCAGCTTAAAACAGGACATCACATGCAATAGTAATGCCAAGGCAACCGACTTAATTAAAGTCTCTTTAGCAGCCCAAGACAACGTCCGCCGCTTCCACCCCTGGAGGCGCTCAAGCAGCTTCTCCTCCAAATACCGAAAAGTAGCCACTTTGGATCGCGCAATAAGCGTAGGTAACCCCAAATACTTATCATGAACCCCTACCGCACCAACCCCCAAAATTGCGGCCAAAAATTCCTGATCAGGTCGGATAATATTCTTACTGAAGCACACCGCTGACTTGGCCAAATTCACCCGTTGGCCGCTCAACTCCTCGTACTCATTTAGGACCTCAATCAGATTTTCACACTCTCGGAGAGTACCTCGCAGAAATAAGTACGAGTCATCAGCAAAGAACAAATGCGAGATCCGAGGCGCACGAGGGGCCACTTTGACCCCCTCCAACCTTTTGTTCGAAATAGCCTTACGAAGGAGCGCTGCAAAGCCCTCAGTGCAAAGCACGAACAAAAGCGGAGAAAGAGGATCCCCTTGCCGTAACCCCCGAGAAGGAGTAAAATACCCTGCCGGAGTCCCATTCATAAGAACCGAAAAAGAGGAGGACCGGAGACATTCCTGAACCCACCCTCGCCAGGTAGAGTTAAAACCCATCTTTTCCAAAACCGCGAGTAGAAAGGGCCATTCGACTCTATCATAGGCCTTTTCCATGTCAACCTTTAGAGCCATGTACCCTTTCTTGCCTCTCGTCTTGATTTTAAGACAATGCATTAACTCATGTCCCAGAAGTATATTCTCAACAATTTGCCGTTCACGGATGAACGCATTTTGACCCTCTGAGACAATAGTCAGCAAGAGGCAGGCAAGACGTTCCGCCATAATATTCGTAATGACCTTATAAATAAACTGGCATAAACTAATCGGGCGCAGCTGGCGCATGGATTCAACATTGTCGACCTTGGGTATCAAAGTAAGCCATGTATGATTAAAACTCCGGAGCATTCGACTCGTCGCGAAGAAGGAACACACAGCTGTACTGACCGACTCACCCACAATATCCCAAAAAGCCTTAAAAAACTTTCCAGTGAATTTATCCGATCCAGGCGCTTGCTTTGACCCCATAGCAAAAACCGTTTTACGCACCTCGAAATGGAGAACTTCAGTCGTAAGGCTGGCATTCATCTCTGGGGTAACACCACGGGCTATAGGCAGGGAAGCCACTCGCTCAGCCATATTACCCACTTGGTTTTCCGTTGTAAAAAGGTTTTGATAGAAGGAGGTCGCAATGCCAGCTTTCCCCATTTCATCCTTTATCCACTCATCATTCTCATTTCGGAGGCCGGCCACAAAGTTTCTTTTACGCCGAGCCCGGGTCACCGTATGAAAGTAGGATGTATTTTTATCCCCTTTCTTCAACCAGTGAACTCTTGACTTCTGCTGCCAGTAAACTTCCTCCGCCTCCCATTGACGATTAAGCTCCTTCTCCAACTCCCGGATCGCATCCCAGTCAATAGGATGGGTCAACTTGACCCGGTCAATTTCACCTTGAAAGGTACGAATATTCCGCAGGGAGTTAGTAGTACCTGCTCTACTCCAGTCGTACAGCAGATGCCGGAGTTTCTTGAGGCGCTCCCAGAGGCAAAACATAGGGGTACCCTGAATCTCCTCCTTCCAAACATAACTAACCATGGCCCTAACTTCAGGATTATCTGCCCAGCGGGCATCAAATCGGAAGAGAGGGCGGCTATTACGACTATAGGGTTTATCAGATAAGAGGAGGGCTCTATGATCAGAGCCTAGATCCGTGAAATGTTTGACCAAGGTTTCAGGAAACCGATCAATCCAGTGCTGAGAGCAGAGGGCTCTATCCAGACGTTCACGAATACAAGCACTTCCCATTCGCTTATTAGTCCAAGTGAACAGGTCTCCCTGGAAACCCGGGTCATGGAGCCCCAAATTGTGGATAAAATCGCGCAAGCTTGCAGAATTAATAGCATTCCAGGGACTACCCCCATCTTTTTCACTCGCATTTTGGACCGAGTTAAAATCACCTATAATCACATAGGGGAGGTGAAACGCAGAACAAATCTCTTGGAGATTGGCCAATTGAGCAGATCGAACGGAAGCAGAACAGCTAATATAAACACAAACCACAATATAAGAAAAATCAACTTCATTAACTTGGGAACAAATACAGAAGTTGGACGAATAGAAAACCGAAATATCAACTTCTGGAGACCAGGCTAGCACTAAGCCTCCCGACCCTTCAATAGCATCAATAAAATAACAACGAGAAAAATCAAAGCCT